TGGCAGGGCCACAGCAGGTCGCAGCCAGGCAGCAGCCCCCACTGCCAGACTGCTGCAGTAGGTAGAGGATGTAGGGAACTCTCAGGGCTGCTTCAGCAGTCCAGCTGGCACAAGGGCTGGTGTCCCCAGGTATCAATTGGCTGGGCCCCAGAAGCTCCTGAGAGCGAGTAGCCCTGAGCTACTTGCCAGGTCAGCTTTTTATACTGCTGGGGACAGCACAGATGCTGGCCTCAGGCTCTAGCTCCCCCTGGCTGCAGATCCAGGAGGAGCCAGGCAGGGTTATTTTGTCCCAAGTGGCACAATTTGCTCCACAACAAAGTGCATGTCCAAGCACGTGCGCTGAGGCAAAAAGCCCCAGCTCAAATTTGCACCGCTTCTATTTGAGCTGCTGCAAGCGCACGTGTTTGCATGTGTGGGTGCGCCCATAGAGTGCATCTGGATATAAGGCAGTCCGTGAAAACAAGTATATAGGATAAGATTATGATTAAAACAAATCTATTTTTATCTGTTGAATTCTGTGCATTCAGCCAGATCCTTTTATATGTGCATAAAGTTAACTCATACACATCTTAGAAGACAATGCAAAGACTTGAATGATTGAATAAATTTACTTGTTTGCTTAAATCTTTACAGGATCAAAGTTATGATCATTTTAAATTTGCAGAATAAATACAGTACATCAATAAATTAGCCATGTTCTCAATTTAAAATGTTATTAATTTAAAATCTTTTAGTATTAATTTTAGATTTTTTCCTAATCCCTGGAAGTATATTTTTCATATTTTTCCTCCAAATGTTCCTGAATTAGAAGAATTCTTCTCATACTTGCTAAGTTTACTACGCTTATAATATTTACTAATGACATATGTACTCTTCCCACCATAAAGCAAAACTTCTTATCTATTTTACGTACTTGGATTGTCTCCAGATGGATTCACCTTGAAAGACTGCTGCCAACTCTGTTTGCTAAACCAACCAGCAGGTGGTGCTCTGAGAGAGGGTTGATTCATATCTCCTACCCCTTTCCTACCCCAGCACCCTCTCCCAGCGAGGGACAGCAACTTCAGGAATGCAGGTGGTCATCAGTGGAGCTTGTATACCACAGTTCACACTAGTCCACAAGATATTCAGGTGTATACAACTAGTGAAAGAGATAGTGAATAACTGAGCTGCTTTATGTTTTGAAATGCTTTAAAAGGCATATCAACTGAAAGACTGAATTTATGATTTCCAGAGATCCCATTGGTCTTGTACCTGTTTGCCCTAATTTCCATTACATGGCTGTGGGGAGGACTGCACGTGGCTTACAGGCACCTCTGGATGTTAGTCTTCTTTGTCATCTTTAATAGCCTGCAGGTAAGAACTTTTACCCTTTTTTTGCTGGCCTGTTCCAGAGAAAGAGAACAGATGCGTTGTTGATGACATGTTTGATGTTTCAAGTTGTGCATATTGAGGAGAAACAGAAAGAAAGTGGAGGTGTTTATATGACAATTGTCACTAGAAATTTGGTTATACATAAAATTACTATACTAAATTCATATTCCACTAAGTGCATTGTTCCAAAGTAATGGCAATAATAATAGCATAGATATTTATCTCGGCCAATACATTAGAAAAAAAACATAATTTATTCTATATATAACATAATCCTGTTTTGATGAACAAGGAAATGAAAGGATCTGCAAGCAACGGTAAAAATAAGAAAAGAATAGGGTCAGTATAAAATAGAAAATCTTTTTAAAGATATGAACAAAATACTGATATTTAAATTGAAACGGGATTAGCCTGTGTTGACCCAGTTAAAAACACAGTTAAAAACATCTTTTTATACAAAAGAACATGATAGACTGGAGTTGCATTTGAGCTAATGACACTGAAAAAACATACATGGAGAACATATGTAGTTTTATTTTGATACATAAACCTATGTGTAACCTTCAGTGACCCTGATCCTTCAAATTCATAAACAGATGTGTATTTTTACACATGTAAGTAGTTCCATTGAGCTCAGCATTGCTTGTGCATAAATGTTTGCAGAACTGAGACTAGCCTGTGAAGACTGAGGAAATTCCTGCAAATTACAAAATGATGGGAAATAAACAAGAACATTGTACTATGTTATGCTGTTTAGATTTTTCTACCACTCTAATTACAGTAGTATCTGACCATATTCCAGTAGTGCATAAGTAACATGAATGATATCTGACATCTATTATTGATATAGACAAAGTCCTTGAAAGTGTGTAAATTCATGCAAGTATTCTGACTTCACAAAACAGACTTTTTTTTAGGTTTTAACTCAGAAGTAATGCCACATTTCACTCAAAAAGGTGGAACTTAAACATTTCCAAAATTTAAATTTCATTAAGAAGTGCTACAGAGGTGTAGGTTTAGAAGTGCTTACATTTTCAAAACTAAAACAAACATATTTGTGAAATGGCTCAGGTTGGAATTATGACTTTTAAACAATTTTATAAACAGTTTTCCACCACTTTTAAAGAACACTAATTTAAAATGTCCACTTTAAAAATAAACCCCACTAGCACTTCTTCAGGTGCAAATGTAATTGACTTAGTAAAATACAAAAAGGCACCAGAGCTCTGTCTACACGAACGCTCCTGTTAATGCAGCTGAACTGGTAGTGCCAGTGGAAATTCTTTGTTCGAACATTCACTGTTCAGATAAATTTGTCTGGATAATCTACCCACAGAATTTCAGTGTTGTTCCCTTTAATACCTAATAGTTTCAGAGTGGTGAAACACATCACTGATTTAAATTGCTTATATTCTCGCTTTATTATCTTTATATATTTACCTATTTTTAGAATGCACTTTAGGCTTGTATTACATAAAAATACCCTGGATACAGATAATTGAAAAAGGTAACTGATTAGAATGGCAATCCTAGAAAATGGTGTTATGTCAGTAAGTGACACGTGCACCAATGTTGATGTGTCCATGTGTGCCTGATAAAACACAGTGACTTTACTGTCAATGAATATTTAGGAAAGATGCATATGAGTATGTATAAGTATTAAGTAACCTTGAGCAAGAACACATAATACCAAGCTGAGCCTTTTCAATATTGCCAGAAGATACTTTAAATGTATGTAAATATGCAACTTAAATATTAAATAAAGGTTTTTGTAACTTCTTAAAGAGCAGATCCTGGGAATGTGTTTTCATAGATTTCATAGACATTAGGGCTGGAAGGGACCTCGGAAGATCATCGAGTCCAGCCCCCTGCCCGAAGGGCAGGAAGTTAGCTGGGGTCATAGGATCCCAGCAAGATAAGCACCCAATTCACTCTTGAAGGTGTTCAATGTAGGTGCTTGAACCACCTCCGATGGCAGGCTGTTCCAGACCAGTTTTAATTTGTAATGACAATTTCAAGAATCAAGATATTAATTTATAGAACAGGTATAAGAGGTGAAACAAAATACTGAAAACTGTGCAAGGATTATCAATACTAAAACAAGCAGAGGCCAATAAGATCCATAAAGGGTGTGTTAAATTGTGGACACAAAAGAATATGGAGAGTGTGTGTAAAATACAGATGCTAAACATGACCATGCCATTAAAGATTCAGTGATTTTTTTTACTGAAGAAACTGTAAGTGGCACTGTGGTTAGTATTGTGTTTAAAATAGCACTTAAAATGGGGTATAAATGTTTGTTTGTCTCCAAAAGTAGTTCATCAAACACTGGAAATTTCACAAAGGGTTACATTCTGTGTCCTTTGAATTTTCCATTTAGATGTTTTTGCTTTAGTTGGTTTGGATTTTTGTGTCTGTTTGTTTATTTGCTTGTTTTAAAATTTGAATATGACTGAAAGTTTTTCTTGGTAGCCTGCTTTTCTATTGATTAATAAAGATATTGTCCAGATGCACAAAACTTAGCAGAAGTGAAACCCGACTAGATGTGGTGCAAGAGGATTTTGGTGGGTTTTTCGATTTTAGAATTACGGTTCGTTTCAACCATAATTTACATTAAGTTATGCAACTCAGTGCATCTACACATACAATTAGCATGGCTGAATAAACTTCGGTGCAGTTCATGCCAGAGTTTATTGCTCCCAGGCACAGCATTTACATGTGCACCCAGGACCATAGCATGTTGACCCAGGGTATCGCAGCAAGGTGCCTGGGGGAGGGGAAGGCACTAGCATAGGGTGTGGGGGGTCAGCCTGCCAGCCCAGAGCTGTTCTGCTCCCGCTCAACATGTTGTGGTGGGGCTGGCTGGGGCACAAGGGTGCTACAGTGCAGGGCTAGCCAACAGGCAGCCCCCACACTGTAGCACCCTCATACCCCAGCCAGCTCTGGTCACCATCTACATGTGCATTGTGGCGCACTAAATAACTCTGCCATAGGATAGTACTTGTGGCAGGCAGTACTATACTATGGCAGAGTTAATTAGTTTATTGAGGCCTAATATCGCCACACATGTACATGGTGATGCTTTACTGAGGAGCTAATTAGTCACCTCCACAGTAAAGCACATGTGTAGATGCCCCCACTGAGAATTTATGTGCTTTGTACACAATCCTGGGAGATTGGGATTTGACACACACAAATCCTTCTTCATCAAGAGCCATACTTTTCTGTTGCATCTATGACAGAGAGAATCATGTACAGCTGCTGAAAGATGACGTGTTCTCCATTAACAGCTGCATTGCTAATCCCCAACAGCTCTGTCCTCAGTCCAGTCTCTTCCTTCATTAAAACAAACAAAAAAAATCTGCTAGGAAATTAATGAATAAGAACTTTCTTGTTTATTACAATAACATAACAAAAGGCATACCTTACCTTTACAATTACCATAAATCACAGATCAGTTAGTGTAGTCCCTATGTTTATAACTGCCTGTTTGCCCATACTTGTCTTTTCCTAACACAATTGCCTAGTGCACTAATATCCATATAATGGTATTGAGAGAGAGGATTCTCACTTTCTATCACGGCATTGCCAGTGCACCTTTACCTGCATCAAGCTTTGGATCTTAAAACAACAGGGCAGCACATGCTGAGAAGGTAGCAACATATAAATCTTCAGCTTGAATTTCCCAGCTCTTTCATTCTCTCAGTTCTTCTCTTAAATTTGACTGATTTTTGCTGCAAAATAAAGAAAATCCCACTTGTTCAACTGGTTATTACCAAACCATCTGCCACATATGTTCGGATGTTCTGGCAGGAATTGAAGTACAAGATCCAAGAGGGGAAAAAAAGGTACCATAAAATTTGCCTGTCACCACCATGCCAAGTAATATCCAAGTTATGTTATTCTGGATACTTGCATTTAATGACTTGTCTCCTGGTATGCAGCAGAACTTCAGCATTTAGGTCTTGTGTACCCATGAAGAGGGTTAGCATTTGTTCCTAAAGATTGACAGATTGTCACAGAAGAACCACCACAGGCTGCATTGTAGCACCTGCATAGCAGATAGAGCCAATGGATTTCTGTTTCTCTTATATAGATATGAACCCCGTGAAGCACAAGAAAAATAAATCTTGAAAAGACAGTGCTCTAAACATGCTCATTTTTTTGCCTTATTCTAGCCCTGGAGAATCTGTATAGCCTCAAGTATAAAATGTATATTTTTCCTCTAAATTGAAACTAGCTCTAAAATTTCACAAAATAAGTAAAACACTTTTTCTGGTTTGATTTATTAAATATAAATGCATAGGCCTAGAGTTACAAAACATAAACTTGTAAATAACACCTTTTACTTTGAGCTATGACAAGTATAACAGCCTTACCCATCATATTTTAAAAAGTATGTTTTATGATTTGGTGGAGTTTTTAAACAAAAAAATATAATAAAAGAATAGCTAATACTTCTTTTGCTGCTAGACTTTAAAAATAACTTTTTTAAAAGTATAAAGCTGCCACATATTAAAAGCCAAGCAAAAAGAACATTTTCTAATGCTGGGTGCCCAGAGAGCTGTTAAAAATATAAAAGAACTTCTTTCTCAACTGTACAGTCTTATGATTTTTTTAATGGAGGTTTGTTTTCATTAAGCCACTAAAATAAAAAAATGTTTAAACAAGTATTTTCTGAAAACATGCAACCATTTTAATAATAGCAGCAGCACGTTGCTTACTAGGTTATTCTCCTTCAGAAAAAAAGGAAGTTCAGTGATCTAATCAGGATGCAGAAACGGTACCACGTGAGATAGGTGAGTAGCCATTAGGGCTGTGTGAAGCTTCAGTTGCTGATTTGATTTGGAGGAGATTCAGCCTGATTTGGCAGCCAAATCTCAGAATCTGAATCAAATTGGGAGACCAATAAAAAGATTTGAATAGATCCAAAGCCTCCAAATCAATTTGGAGGAGGTTCGGAGATTTGGGCAGTCCCCGCT